GTGTATCTGGACACTGCATTGGCCTTAATATTTTGTCAAAGCTTTTTAAAATATTGAAACATAGGTTTGAAAATTTGACACATTGAAAACAGCTTTTAAAACACTCATCACGAAAAACTTTACTGTGATTGGTGCAGTAATTGGTACACAACATGGAGGAGAATCTAGTTTAAATGTATTAGTGTAATATTACCAGTAGGCCTGTAATAATCAATTTGGACAAACGGCAATTTCATGCGAGTTGTTTTAAGAAAATTGGCCTGCATTGGTCTCTAATTGGTTAAAGCTACTATCTCTTCAATAATCATACCCATTCATGTAGGAGGAGTTCAACATTTGAAAGTTAACAGTCGCACGTCAAAACATTTTAATGTCCCGCCTAGGGCCACATTGATTTTATGAAAGCTTAACGTGTTTCTACAAAGGGCTCCTGATATGGCTAAATAGCCAGCTAGCTAAACCCACACCTCCTTATTCTCCCTGCTGTCTTCTGTCTCATGTTCTTGCTGCTCACACCGCAAATCTGACTTTTTCTTTTGTAAAGAGATTCTCAGGCGCCCACCGAGCGACCTGTCCACCAGGACCTCTGCCAGTACTCCGTGGCTAAGCTGGCTTTTTGTTTTGAATGATTAGCGGCAGGGTGGGGGGGTTATGGTAGGTTGTATGTGCTCGGAAATCATTTTTCCAGTTTGCACTCATTGACTATTAGGGGCATATGCGAGCAAAATGGTCACACTGTAGAGCCCTGGTGCATATAATATGCTAAATATTTTATACTGAATTGCACGAAAAAGGAATCCAAGTACACACTGTATATCTAGTGCGTACTTCCCACTTTGATGTAATTGAACAGTCATAAAACGATGTGCTGGCATTTAAATCTGCCTTAGATCAATTTCAGCTGCTTTTTTCTTATCGGAGAGGGCTGAAGAATTTAAATATATAACAGGAAAGAAACGATACTACCTGAAAGAATCTTTCAAACATGCAGATAGAAATGTGATATTGCCAAACAGTGCGTGAGAAAATGGTTAATCTTTAAGCCAGACATTTGAGGTAAAAACTGAGAGCAGTGAAAGTTGAGAAGTTTAAGAAAGAGAAATTGATTGAACACAGACAAGACTTGGGTGACATGGGTATCTTTTTGAATGGTTTTTTATTGTAATATTATTAAATTGGCCACATACCCTTTTAAATTAAATATTATAATTAACAAACTATTCTTTGTTAATGACATTTGTTGTTTGTTCAAACCATCTAATGCCTGCTACAGATGGCTCTGTAGTGCTGTAAGTGCTATGTTCTGTTACTGGGTTTGTGTTTGGAACAAGTAAAAAACAGGTGTATTAGTGGCGTGCAAAGTGCAGATACTCCAAGTGAAGTGGCTGAAAACCCAAGATGTTCCCTGCAAAAAAAAAAAAAAACGTGACAAAGACCTGCTTATGAAACAGAAATGTATTAATTACTAACTGTGTGTGTGTGTGTGTGTGTGTGCGCTAGGTGACAAGGGCCTTTTCTTTCACCAAGACCCCGAAGCGTGTGATCCAGAGGGCGTTCATGGCCAACAGTACTCCGGATGAGAAAAGCCAGGGGCTGAGTTGTGAAAACCGCATTAGCAGCAGCGCCACACTGGCTGTAAGTCTTGCTTTATTTATTTGCCTGTCTGGGCTGTACTGATGCTATAGCCACACTAAGTTAAAGTGTGTCTTATTACTTTAAATTATCAATCTGTCTTGGTCAGGACCCTACTAATTCCTATTTCACACATTTAGGTGCTTTTGTAAGAGCATGTCAGTGTTGTTGAATGTAAATGTGTTTGTATATTTTAAAGAATACATTACCCTATTTCTAGTAGGTTAATTCATATGTTACCATTTTAATTGTACCTACTTCTCCACTGTATTTTAGTGTTCACTCTTACTGCACACACAACGGCTTGCCCGCCAATTTCTGTTTCTCTCTCCCTGTATGTGTCTACTCTGTTGACTTTCTTTGTCAATCTTGTGTTTTATGAGGGGGAAAAAAAACCCTAGTGGATATTTTTTAGGTACGTGATAAGAATATTGATGATGATGGTGATCAGCACCAACCAGGTGTGTGGAACAGATGCAAAAAACTGACTTAAACTCTGTGTACACTGAAGGGCAGAAATGTGGATGTGCATTCTTTTCATTAAAATTATTGTAGCTTTATATGCAGCCTACACATGGTTCTGTTTTATAAATCTCAATATTGTAGAAGAATACAGACATGCAAAAGACCTAAAGCTACAAGCTTTCTTTTAAACCTGTTCAACAGTGGAGGCTAGCTCATTGTGTATCTAAAAGAACAGTATTGGACTTGTCCAGGTGCGATTTCAAAGCTCCCAATGTAAATGTCTCTCCTAATCTGCCTGAATTTTGTTTCAGCATTCTCGCACTCTGGTCTTGTTTTTCTTTGAGTTGTAAATCCCTGCTCCATATGTGTCTCCCCTCTGTTATGTACTCTAGATGTCTCGCTCTGCCTCCACGTTCAGTTTGAGTGATTCTCCCAAGAGCAGTGCCGTGGTGCAGCGCTCAAACTCTCTGGACCATCCTCCTGTCAGAACCAGGGTCCCTGTCTGTATACGTATCCCCTGCAGCCCACCCCAAAACTCTGCCCATAGCCCCAGCCCAAACACTGTCCCCGAGCTTAGCCAAACCCTCTGCCCCAACGATTGCCCAGGCACCCCAGAAAGCAAGTCCACCCTTCATGCTCCTTTATCAACCCAACCGGCACAACCTCATTCAGCCCTCTACACTCGCCAACAGTCCACCTCTTCGACCTGTCCCACCTCCGCTTCCATTCCAGCTGTCCGAAACTCCGCTCAGTTCAACTCCAAAAACTACCAGCCGAAATCTAGCGAGCACGTGTCCAGACACCTGCCCTCTGTGTTGTTCCAGCCAAGTTCCTCAGCTCCTCAGCCTGTTAATGTCAAAGGCAGGACCTTTTCTGAGTTATGCAGGGATCCCCTTGTCCACTTGGACCCACGCAAGTCTGTGCTGACCAGTCCTCGCAGGGAGACTCTGCTCTAAACCATCACTAAGCTCAGTCCTGGAGTCAGACGTGAGCAAACATTATTGTGGTCTCTACTATTTTTAATATAAAATTAATCCTTACTACCTGCTGCCCTTTTAACACTGCTGGTGCGTTTCTAGTCCCAAATCAACTCCTTAGAAGCTGAGACCCTAACACCGTGATACATCATAATAATAACCTGCTATACAGCTGAACCCCGAACTGCAATGATTAGATAAGGTTTTAGAAACACATGCGTAGTGTGGGTCTAATGCTTCTCAAGGCAAAGGGCAGAGATTTTAAGGGTTGATTTGGAATAGCTCTGTTCCTACAAATCACCTGGGTAACTGGTGGTGATGGTGATGGTGGTAGTTGTGAATATTCACTAGGTGACTGTTATTAATAGTGGGCTGTATACAAAAGGTGTAATGGAGATGGGTACAACTGGGATATAAGAGTTTGTCCGGGGGGGGGGGGGGGGGTCTCTGCTTTCCCGCAGGAGAAAAACTCATATGGAAGTCAGGCGTTATCCACATTAATGTTGGGCAGATCTATGAAGATAATGTTAAAATGGTTTGTTCTGATTATTCAAGTGTTAACAACTTAGCTAACTAACGTAAGTGTGAATTGATGAATATATCAAGTGAATGGACTGTTTGTGTAGCGCCTTTCTATTCTGACGACCAATCATAGCACTTTACACTACGTGTCACATTCACCCCACTCTACCTCCTAAGCTACAACTAAAGGCTCGCCTTTAATTTAGGATTCTTTGTTCTGTTGTGTCTTTTGGCTACGTTACACAAAAACCACTCACAGGTCCTGGATGTGACACATACCATTTCCCCCACATTTTTGGGACCAGGAATTAGCTCAAATAGACACCATCTATCTTAGACACCTGGTGTCTTGTCTGTGCTTGAAATTTTGTTTGTTGTACAGATGGGCTCCTGAATCTTCCTGCTCCAAGGTGGGAAGCTTGGTAACTGTATCCATTTATTTGGTGTGCTAATGGAAGGACAAGGGTTAGTTAGTCTACAAGTAGTGAGGTGGATGCAGGCTCCTAGTAATTATAATTGTCCTTGCCGCTGGCGCTGCCAAGCAAAAGTAGGCTACTTCTTAAACGATGCATTGATGAATTGTTGAAATAATCTGTAGAAGCTTTGGTCGTTAGCTGCAGCCCTAATCCCTATCAATGAGCAAGAGGTTTTGTCTTGTAATGATGAATATCAATAATGTCATCACTTGAGTCGCAATTAAAGTTCTTTAATTTATCATGTGACAGAAGTAAAGTTGGAGTTGAACCTCCATAATCCTGATATAACAAGGATTTTATTTAACAATCGACATGTTGGAAATTAATTTGGCATCAATAAATTAATAACCAATGCAAGAAAGAGACTGATGCATAGGTCTGGGTATCGTATATTCAATACCGGTTCCTGAACGATACTATTTTATGAAATCTGATTTAACAAGATTACATTACACATTACCTCAATTTAAAAACCTTATTTTTCCAGTTTCTTGACTTTTTTACAGGCTCAAAGACTCATCACCTGAGCCACTGCAGCTCGGATTGATACTTGATGGTGTCCTCATGCTAGGGTCGGCAGGAGCAGAGGCTAGAACCTTAATCTTAAGAGGAAAAACAACCAAAGCTAAACTTTTCCAACCTTTTAGTATAAGCATGCTTTATCAAGAGAACTAATTTAATGCGAGTTAAACTTCATTTTAACCATCTATCGATAGCCATACTTCCAAACAATATCTAACGTTATGTAGGTCCCTGTTTATAAGACTGTCACCGCGCACAGAAGTGTTAACGAGTACACAAGCATGTACCACTACAAGTTAGCTGATTTTCTTTGCTAAGCATTAACCTAACCTGTCGGAGTCCCAGGACTCATGTGGTGGGCATGTGGAAGGAGGCTCTGTGGCAGCACTGGCTCAGTCTTGCACTCAGACTTACGTTGATTCCGTGCAGTGTCAAGTGCTCCATCGTTATTTGTCGTGTTGGAAATCTAGCCACACTTCTGATCTTTTCCACATCTTTTACATTTATGGGTATTGTAACGCACACACAACTGCCTCAAGTGTGAGCTACATCTGTTTCACTGCACAAATGAACCGGTCTACTCCTCGGTATGAGCCTGGCATCGGTTGTCTTTGGGCACAGGATGTCTTCACAGTGTAATTGGGTGGTGATCATTGGTGCAGTGGAAAGCGGGGTTTACGTCTCACCTCTGGTACCACCTTGTCATTTAAAGGCTCAGTGTGTAATATATCTGAGGATTTATTGAAAGAAATGCAGTATAAGATCCATAACTATGTTTTCAGTGGTGTATAAAGACCTTACGTAATGAACCGTTGTTTTCATTACCTTAGAATGAGACACTTCTATCTACATAACTGGGGTCCCCCTTACATGGAGGTCTCTATGTTGCACCGCCATGTTTTTTACAGTAGCTGAAACGGCGCTACAGAGCGCATTTTGTCACCACGTCGTTATTCAGTTATTCCGGCAGTGTAGACGCCTGTCACTACGTTCAATGCGTACGAAGAAGAGGAAGTAATAATACATTCTCTGCGGAGTCATCTGGTTTATTAGAAGTTAGTAGAGAAGTGAAATTCAAACAAATGGAGGAGTACACAGGGCTTAAAGTTATCTGGCGCTGTGCCGGAATTCCGGCGTGGGGCGTTTTCATATTCAACAATATATAATTATGTCTGTGGAAAGTATTCTTGCGTATTTTTTTTAACAGTCGCGTGATATATTTGTGAAGCGCCAGTCCTCCGCACAATCTCTGTGGGTGGATGCACAAAAGAAGGGGACTGGCACTTCCTGACTACATGGACACTCATTGGTTATTGTAGGCCATGGACAGGGCATCGAATTTTCTATTGGGACAATTAAGGTGTCACTCAAAAGGTCAAGGTGTACTGGCTTTTTTTGTTTACATGCTAACTGTAATCAAACGATGTAACAGCAGTCTGTGTGTCTTTATTCATATAAAAATGCGGTTTGACCTATTATTATATAATATTTACTGGATTGGATCGTCTGGACCTTTGCCAACATAACAAGGCCAGTTTTGTTGGAATGTAATCCATCGATAGACTACAGCGTCTCTGGTAAGTGGCATCAATTTTGATTATTAGTGGTGCTTAAAGTGCGTTACCAGTAAGTTACTTCTACATTTTACTCTTCGGCGTAGTGGGACTTTTCTTGGGTACCGTGTCCTCTCCATATCAGGTTCTCTGGGCACTATGTGACGCTCACCTGTTCCCGTTCTCGTCGGCCTCCTAATCTCTCGGTAGAAAGAAGCTCGGGTGCCTTTCGTGCATGAATGATTATCGATGAGTAGCATTAACTAATTAGAAACTGACCACCATGTAGATAATTTTTGTTAAACAAATTTAATGGAGGGGGAAAAACCCACACAAATGAAACTGCTGTCCAACTGGAACTAATATTATACTAATGGTGAGAGAGAGAGAATTTTATATAGTTGGCTATCTGAAATGATAATGAATACACTAACATTAGCCCTAATGAACAAGGCAACATGTAAATGGGGAGTACCAGCAGGGCTGGGCAATAAAACAATAATTATCTCAATATAATTTCCCTCAATAACCAAATAACAAATGTTTAATAAATGTTTAATATAAGTCATTTGAATCATAGACAAATCAGCACTTATTTTTCTATTTAGATGTTTATTTTGTTGAGGAAAAGGAAAAATTTACTCACGCATATTTGTCGAAAAAAGATTGTAAATTGTTTTGAATGTTCTGAGCTTAGATTTGTGAAGTGTCCAATGTTTGACATCAAGTGGTACAATTCAACTCAGGAGCAAATATCAGCCATTAAACTTGAAGAAATAATAATTTGACATTTATTGTGATAACTATCGATATCCAATAACATGAAATGTTTTATTGTGATAACATTTCTGGCCATATCGCCCAACCCTTTTCCAACTTGATTTTAGGTGGTGGCAGAAAACCTTTACCAGAATGCAGGAAATGAATTGTTTAATGCTCAGTTTTTTCAGGGGCAGGACCCCAAGATTTAATATTTCTTCAAAACGGTGTACAATTATTTTCTTGTCTTGTTCTTTTGAACCAGTATCATAATTCCTCATGTCTCATGAGCTCAGTGTATCGTCACACCCCCAATCTGAGTCACTACGTCCCCTTCAGTTTTCAACACAGAGTTATGCTCTTGCCCCTTACCTTTCATTTCGTTGTAACCCCCACATGCATTTCAGGCACAGAAAATATTCTTGCTTTAAGTCCTGAGTACACGTATTATTTAGCACGAGCCGAAAGTGTGCGGATCTTCTTCGTCAAAGAAGCGAAAACGCAATAAAGCCAGACGAGGTTAGGACAGATGCAGACAGATGACGGCAGAAATCAAGGATATAACGTTAATTGTTGTGTATTTTCCCAGATGGAAGGCTCTGATGCGGGACAAATGTTTTCAAAGCAGCGCTGAAGTTGCCCTTTTTCTGCTGGACAGGTTAATTAAGTTAGTCCACCTTTAGCAACGCAAATAAAAACGGTTGTTTGATAGCTTTAGCTAGAAGATGGGGATGATCACTGAGAGAAGTGACGCGTTTCCCTCGTCAGTGGTGTAAAATATACAGTTGGATTAACTTCATATCTGTTCTCCAGCGCTGTGTTTTGACTTTGTTACGTGGACAAAAATTTGTCAGTTACGTTTGCAAGACAAACAGCTGATGAATATTATTGGTGGGGATGCAACAATTGCAGATTTTGTTGGTACGATTATAGTCTGAGGAAAAAACATTTATTTCTGCTAATGACATTACGATAACTGTGTGCCTATCAAGCGACCAATAAGGCTTATACTTTCAGAATTTGCATTGAAAAAGTGTTTGTAGGCTATTGCTTCGCTACCGTAGCCACAAATGTGTAATTTGATAATTAACAGGGTAAATGACTTGCAGACTGTTTAGCTAATGAACATAGTGGAGAGGAGCCTTGATCCTCACCTGACAATGCCTTTGTAAACTGGTATGTTGGTGCAGATGAGCCAAACCTCCCAAGATGTAACAAAATGTATGTGATGATATTATGGTGAGTGAGCAATTTGTTGCAATTCGCAACCCTCGCCACTAGATGTCACTAAAACTTGCACACTTAACCTTTAACTCTGAGAGGACAGTAACACCAGTTGGTCTGGCAGGTATATGTGGGCATGAAGGGGAGCCACTAGTAGGTAGGGATTTGGCATGTGGTTTTGGGCTTTGCAGGAATTTAGGTCTGCAAGAAGTCTAAGTATTGGGTAAAACCTGTACAAAAAGTGTGCTTGGAGTAGTTTAAGTTTAAGAGATTATTGTAAGTGCCTCAAAAGAAACATCCTATTTCATCATTGTTTCGCTGGAAGCCTTTTGGTTTTTAAATACTTAAATATATTCTTTTTTTTTAAACCTGCAGAGGAAAAGCAGAGCTGTACAGTTTAGCAGGGACGCCTAAATTGTGTGTCTTGCCTGCCAACATAAAAGGAGCAGATGTCTGTAAACTCACTATTTTAACTATCTGGTTAGTTAATCTATAACATTTTTGAAAGAAGACACAAACTGCAATATACTCCTTAGTGGCCCGGGGAGAAAGTCACCACATTCCTGTCAAAAAATTATGCAGTTGTTTTGGATTTCTTTATTTGTTATGTCTACATAACAGAGTATTTATTATGTTTGATGCAGAATACATGAGCTTTATCAACTTCTTCCTTTCTTCATGTAATAAAACCTCAGTTTGAGAATGTTTAACACATTATAGTTCACTGGTCTGTTTCTTGCCTTCCAGCTGTACATCGTACTCATGTTTCGTGGCATCTATTGATAGTTGGTCCCAGCATGTTGCTGCAAGTCACAAAATAGTCCAGAATTTCCACTTAAGACTGCTTTATTGCCAAAGTGGGTGGGTGGGTGTGTGTGTGTGTGTGTGTGTGGGTGTGTGTGGTTTGTTTCTGACTGTAGTGTGGTCCATTGAACTAAGGCATTAACACTCGTTTTGCAACTTAATTAGAACTCTCAGATCTCTCCATTATCTTGTGAACTGCACTGGGGAGACGGAACATACCACTCTAAGAGGGGGGCGGAAAGTACCACTTGAAGATAGGGGGTGGAAGGTTCCATGCATTGCTGGCCTTTTTAACATTAATGTAGGACTATTAACCTTGTACAGAAGGTGGGGATTCCAAAGGTGTTCTCATGGGCCAGGCGCTCACAAATGGTGCCTGGTGGTGGTTGGTGTGCACAACATCTCCTTGATGTTAGAAGCAGCCTAACTTAAGTGCTCTCCTGCTGATACTGCTGTAATGATGCCGTATCTGGCCAACACTGGGCAGAGTGGCTGAATGAAGACTACTTACCTTACTTCTCACATGGCATTTTCACGCTGCTGTCATAGACTGAAGCTGGTGCCACTCCTTCAGGTTTGATTTACAGCCCAGTAAGCAGGTAAAAGGCTCGGGTGCGAGTGCTGTCATCAGCCCCTCTTAATTTGTTCACTGGCAGTATATCTCTAGATCAAGGACGAACTGTGTGTTTGAGTGAATGTCAAAGACATTTCCATGCACACTCTGCCGAAATGCTTGTAGAAAGAACTCTGTGTGTGAGAGTGAGTGTGTTTTGCAAAGGTCGCCTGTCTCGATTACTTCAGTGCCACAGCTTGGCTTAAAGGCAGAGAGGCGCTGGTAACAGCGTTTGTTTCTGTGCACTAAGTAGGTGTGTTTGTTTATCCTACAATAATCCTGTTTGTTATTCTGCTGTTCACATGCTTTTTGAATAAAAGTGTCTGATGTATTCACCCTACCCTGTTTAAGTTGTTCGGTAACTGAACATAAGTAACCAATTGTAAAGAAAATAGGGGGTTGAAACCCCCTTTTCCTGTGTAGATGTGTTGAAGGTATATCTGTACAACAAGAAACTATGGGTCCTCTTTTACAATCTAAGTGCACAGCGCAGTTTGGGCGTGTCTAACTCCAATTTTGCTAGTTTAAATGTGGAAGAAATGGTCAGTGTGCGAGGCACATGGTTCAAAATGTACCTCTGTGAATTAGTCATGGGTGTGTATTGTGTGTAACATGCTAGACACCAAGTGTCTCCCATTCCCTTTAAAAGCCAGGTGCGCTTCTACCTTGATGCATTATATAGTTGACTGATTGAATGGCAGACTCACAGCAGAGAGGGGATGTGGACAGAAGTGTGGACGTGATGTAAAAACCGTGTCTGATCATGAAGCCCAAAGTTACTCTGCAGCTCTGTGGTTTATCAATGAAGTGTCGGAACTGCAGTCTGTTAACAGGCAGACGCAGTGTCCTCTATGAAACATCTGGATCCTCACTGCGCTGTGTTGTTATAAACTATGATGAACAGGTCATTGGTTACATCTCTCCCCTACACTGGTTTCTTTATTTTGTGTTTCATCGCTGTATTTATTTATTTATTTTTACAATTTACTTTCATGATTAGAGAGGCTGCTGTCAGTCATTTTAAATGTTTCCATGTGTGCAGTAAAGTAAAAACAAACAGAACTGTAGTTATAAACTTGACAGGACAGCAGAGGAAACAGTATTCAACTTTTAGGTCTGAAATAATTTAGACTCTCTGATGGAGCTCAGGATTGATCCAGACCACAGCTGATTTACTCCAAACACTTTCACTGTGTGAACCTGGACTGTGTGTGAGACCGTTTGGATGTGTAGAAGAACACAGAACATGAATTAATATTAGACACTGACCGATCCTGTTACCGTGTCATTACATTTAAATAATCAATGAAGTTATGCTTCTTTGCCTCGTACGGAAATGCGCACAGCTTCTGTCTTACCATCGCAGTAATGCACCCCTAAAATAACAGAAAACAGTGAAATACTGCACATGGAACTTTAGACCAGTTTTTTGGGGGTCAATGGCGCAATGCCCGACCACACCTTATTTAAGACCAACATTCAGACAGAGACCTGTGACGTCACAGGGATAAAAGGAAAGCTAAACGCGCCTCATAACACTCGCCAAGCGGCAACTCAGACACGCCCTCAGAAAAAGCGGTGGAAAAGCAGTGAGCTGCAGCACACAGCTCTCCTCTCCCTTCCAAACACTAGCTCCCCTCCAGGCAGTCAGTGGACATGAAGTTGTTCCTGTGATGTAGAGACAGAGCTCAGTTAAAACTTTATGGATGAAAGATACTTTTGTTACAGGCCGTCAGGTCCTGGCGGCCGCTTTCCGTATGTGCACACAGCTGATATGTTAACTTCATACTACTTTGACCAATGCAAACCATTTCAAGATACAATCACCACAGCGGGTACAATAAGCGCCTCTGTCAGACCACCCAGTGTAAGCAAAATTGACACGACTCACCTATGAAGCCTCATAGTAATCCACCAATCGATTGTATTCCAACAAAAATGGTCTTGTTACGTTGTCAAAGGTCCAGACGATCAATCCAGTAAAATATTTAGTCCAAAACACATTATTCCATCAAAAAATCCCCAGGACTGCTGCCGCTTCGTTTCATATTTGCCGGCAGACGTGGCTCGTATGTCATTATAACCGTAATAACTCTTTTTGAATGTAAACAACTACGATAGCTTGTATTCAAATTAGCTGCTGAACTCTGACCTTTCGTGTGACACCAAATCTGACCAAATAAGAGCTCACATGTCCCTTTCACAGCCTTCAATAGTCAACGAGAGCCCGCGCTGCAAGGAAGGGCCAGCCCTTATTATTTCATGGGTAGGCCGAGCCAGTTGCAATTGTGCCAATGACCAGCACTTCGTGTAGCCAATGAAATTCTGAAAATAACGATATCCAGCTTTAAATAGGAAGTTCATGAACTACCAGCAAAAAAATACATCTGTGTCGAGCTACCGGCTGATACGGAGCGATGCAGCAGCAGCCGCCTGCCGCCAAGGGGCGGTGCTGTTTTAGAAAAAATACGCTAAGATATACACTCAGAAAAACCTGTGTAAAATAGTTATTTTTCATGGTATTGGAATGAAATTTAACAGGAATTTTACAGGAATGTTAAGAGGTTAACTAGAAACTGCACAACTCCCACCAAAGATCATGTAGAGACAAGATGTATCACTCTATAGCTAAACGAAGCCTTCAAACACACAGGGTGAAAAGAGGAGCTGCAGCAATGTGCAGTATGAAACCATGTAAACCTGTTCTGGTACAACCCCTAGTAACCCATAGTTGATAATGGTTATTTGCAAACAATAAAGTAAAGTATGATTATTAATATTTTTCTAATATTGTGTGGCCCTGCTAATTGAGTACTAACTCTCATCTGACAACTTACATCTTGCAGGGTTTTAAAAGTGCACATTGAAAAGGAGTTGGGATACTGAGTAGAGAAGCACGCTTGCTTTCTTGTTCCAAAAAGTAATACCATGTCCTTCTGCTAACTACTTGGGTGTCGTTCAAGGTTATTTAAAGGATCTTTTAGTTTATTAAAACTACTAACTATTATTATAACTTTCAGTTATTCTAACATTGTACTAACCAAATTAAAAACATAAATGCTGAGATCTGGAAACGAAGCAACATTGCTCCAACAAAGTCTGGTGGGAACACATACAGTCAGTCAGGTTCAGCCAGATGATCTAAAGCACTTTATTGGGAGGTAAAACAAAAAATAATGAATAGTGTAATACCACCAAAATCACATGAAATTCTTGACAGTCAAAATCAGTAATTACCATATTATAATGCTGAAAGTCGCCCTCCCTTATGTTCCAGAAATTATTATTTCTGACTGCTCATGTTTCTCGCCCCACTGGACTGGATAGTGACGGCATAGTGTTCCTGGATCTCGGCAATTAACTTGGAGAGACCAGTGGTTTTTTTTGTTTGTTTGTTTATCACTGACATGGAGAATAGCCAAAAACATTTAAACCAGAGTGATCTTTTAACAACAAAAGTGGGTATTAATGCACTATCTTAGGTTTTTCTATCCCCGTCCTCTTTCACATTTTTTTCTTGTTCGTTCTTTTCTATTTACAGGCACACCATTCCCCCTCCATGGTCAGCCTGCATTCCGCGTTTGAGAGGAAGTACCACACATTCAGTCGTTCGACCACCCATCTCTTCTGAGACGCCGCTGCTTGGAAGCACCAGCAGGGGTCGGCCCATCTTTTCACCTCCTTTGTCTTGACTGCTGCTAACGGCAAGATCTGACTGGACAAGTGTATGTGTATAATGTTGAAGCTACCTAGAAGCAAACTAACTATTGTGTACATGCTGGGGCTCTGCACAGACCTTCCAAATACAGAAGAAATGGCGTTAGCCGTATTTTGAAAAATGCACTGAAGCTATGAACATACTTCAATAGGATTTGTTGCAGTGTCAGCATTGTCCAGCTACTGATACAGGGGCCCAAGTAAAATGTGTCTGTGTTGCTGAGAAAGAAAAATGTAATACCATTCTTGATGTCACAAGGCAGTTTGGTGCGTCTTGCCAAACAAGTACAATACTTCTATTAAGACTAGGAGCTAACTGGAATGGTACTGCACCGTGCTAGGGGCTACAGCTATGTGATTACCCCAGGTCCAGGTAAGGTTTGCCTTACCCTTAAAAATGAAGGATGCTCTGCAATTGTTAATGGGTTCTTGCCATGATTGCATTTTGTTAATGTACTTTACCAGACACTTGTTACATTTTGTGTTTATACATTGCCTGTTCACCTTCCTAGTTGGCATTTTTCAGTGAAGGGTTAACACTAACTAATAAACATTATGTCTGTCCCTCTGGTTTAAATGGACACTCCGTGCTGTCCCCAATGTCCCTGGATGCTCGTTTTATTTCACAGAGTATAATATCATGTAATTTGAGGTATTTCTGTTTAACATATGCAGTTTGCCAAGTTCTTTGTGTGTATTATTTATGTACTAAGTTACACAGTTGACCTCTCTTGCCCTTTACTGTGTTGTGACTTTTTTAGTTAACATGCTTGGTGAGAAACCCATTCTAATAACTGACGTTGTTTTATTGTAGGGGGTAGACCTAATTTTACCTGATATAATAATATTATAATTAACCCACGTTCTAAATGCAAACTTATGATAGCTTCCGGCTTTTATAAAGCTTCTATTTTAATGTTTATGGTATTCGAGAAGAATAAAAGCACGCTTCTTCCCTGTTGGTCCGCCTTTTAAAATATATTTTTACTGTGTCCATATATCTGTGTATATGTTTAAGAAGGGATGTTGCATCAGTGTACATATTTATTCTTGATGAATACATTTTATACCCGTTTTCTTTTTTCTCTTGCAATTCTTCTCTTGTTTTTTCTACTTTTGTCTGTTTCTTTAATGTCGTTTTCATTGACCTTCAATTGACTCCTGTTTCATCTATGTATTAAATGCACTTAAACATCTACCTGAAGATGTAAGCTTTTTTACTCCCGTTTGTCTCTCATCACCACATCATTTAAAAATTTTTTTTATGTAATTTAACCAATTCATCAGTGTTGTTCAGATTGAACAATTCCACTCTTTTGTAGGGGGTGCTGACAAAATATGCCAAGTTATTTGTGTAAAATAAATAATCTTTCCTCAACTAAAAACATGCTGAAAGGTTAATTCTGTTATTAAAAGAAAAAAAAAGTTTGTAAAAGCTGATCTTAATTCTGCCACAATGGCCCTCACTTAATAGATAATTAAGCTGCTTAAGTGGGGTTTGAAATATTTGATTTGCCAAATATTCTTGGAGCTTCCACTTCAGTTTGGGATCTTTGAAGGCCTGTTTTGGATTTGCATACTACTTTGAAGCAAGCTCATGATTTTTGCTTAGTACTGGTCTGTGCTTCTTGCTCATTTGATGTAGGCGTTGGTTTAGAAGTTTTTGGATCCCCTTAGACAAGAAGTGCACTTTCCTAGTTTCCCTTTACTTCATAAATCAGAGCTGCTGTTTTAAATTCACATTTGAACCAACAGAGTCGGTTGGGTCTGAAGAAAGTAAATATAGTTCAGAAATACTGACAAATGGGCCAAACTGGGTAACCAGCAGGTATTTTTGAGGTTAGCTTTTGACTGTGATAAGATGGAAAAAGTGCTTCTATAATCTTGTAGCAATGTGTCCAGAGAGCCGCAGAAAGGTACCATGGTGATTCTCTATTGTGATCCAACATTCATCTGCAGAATAAAATCTTTAGCTTGCCACAGTCAGGTAGGTCAGAATAATTTACAGACCAGGGGCCTCAATTATAAAATGGTGCACAGGATCCATACATGCATACTAAAAGTGTGTACGTGCACATAAAAACCGAAAATGCTGTACACCAAAAAAAGATGTGATGGTTGGTGATGAGACAGTGGATAACTCCTCACCTTTGGTGTGAGAGACCCGGGTTCAAATCCACCGTGAGACACCAATGTGTCCCTGAGGAAGACATTTAACCCCTAGTTGCTCCAGAGGCGTGCGATGTGTATGTATAGCAATTGTAAGTCGCTTTGGATAAAAGCGTCGGCTAAATGAATAAATGTAATGCAGCGAGTTTAACAGAATTCTATTATTACCCAAAGGGCCTTTAGGCAGAAAGGTAAACATTAAACATTGTTCTGTCAAATGCACTGCTCTAGGGAATCTAAATCTGCATATTAGCCTGTCCTCATGGGCCAGGAAATCTTCGTGGTCCCTGAACGCTTGTTCCCCCTAATCCTTCCATTCGTGTTGTCTTCCTCAGTGCCAGCGTTATCTATCATGCAGCATTACGCACAAGAGTCACTGTAGGATTTTTATGTTTACTGATTACTTCACACCATGCCAAAATGATCACGTCAATCAGTGGTATCCACCACCCTGGGATATCATTTAAAGATGGAGATGTCTGATTTGTTACGATTGGCCTGCATTATGATTAGGAGTAATAATGAGGATATGGAGTGTAAAGCTCTCACCGGCTTTATTTCCAGACTTACTAATTTACACAATCCATGTGTGTAAGTGGTGAAGGTGTGTTGGGTTAATTGGGGTGGGAGGCTGTGTGTGTGTGGTTTCTCTAGTGTGCTCAGTCCACCTGACAGCACGGTCGTGTTCATTGCAGCAGTTTAACACAAAAATGTTTTGAAAACTAAAAGCATTCTGGGTTATATCTTCACAATGTTACGAAGATATTATTAAAAACTTGTTTTTTTCTTTATTGTCTTCTCTTACACGTGTTTTTGTTTTGTGTTTTCAGATCATACTTCACAATAAAAGCCCATAATCTGTTAAAAGTGTTTAACAGAGGGAGGAGCATTTTGTCAAAAGGTAACTCGATAAAATTGCTTACATACCTCCCCCCTCCAAAAAGAAACATTGTCGTTTCCAAACAGTAACAGTAAAAAAATGCAATAAAGAAACATGTAAACATCAGTAGCCACGTGCCAACAGAACAAAAAAACTTTTCAGCAGTAAACAACATTATGCATATCCCCTCACATAGTGGCAAAAGATCGCCAGTATGATAAGTGAGTCCAACACAACCAGAACCTTGTAGGGACCCTTCCAGTGGAGAGCAAGTTGATTATGCAACCATACCAGATCCCCATTACATATGGCTGTTGGCAGACTGCCGCATCACAGTACAGTTTTTGTCTCGTGGGCAGTGGCCCCACACGGCCTTGTGCCACTGAAAGCGATCTCCAGACTCACCACGAGAGAGGCTACAAAGTCAACATGAGAAATAGCTAAATCCGAACACACTATTTGAGATGGCACCAAAACATCCACCGAGACCCTGGCTTCCCTTCCATGAGTCAAATAGAAAGGGGTGTAGTTGATGCAGGCATGAACAAATGTGACCGATAGGGACACGTTTCAGATAATCATCCAATTCAAGTATTCAACAATCCCATCTGATCTGGGATTATGTAGTGTATCCATCTAGCTCTTTTTCCTGTGGGATTCTTGTCAATAGACATGCTGCCGATGCACAGCTGAGGCTTTTGATCTGTTGTAATGGCGAATGCAGCTGATCCAATGTAGTGTCTGAACTGGCGTATGTCCCACACCACAGCCCATAGGTCTTTATTAAACGTGGACCAGCACCTTTCAGTTTGAGTGACTGACTGACTCGGATACACAACCACACACTCCGGTCCATCCCTGTCATGAGCCAACATGGCCACCAATGCATCCATGAAGGATGCTGTGGGCCAGGGCAGATAAGAGCACCCTTTTCAGAAACTCAAAGGCAGCATCACATTCAGTTGTCCTTTGGAAAGGTGTGTCTTTACATCTTAGACAGTGCAGGGGAGCTGCAAGTTGGCAAAGTCTAAAGCAGGAGACTGAGAGCTACCTTACTTGATAAACTCCAAATAAAATCTGCTTGGTTTTCCTTTAAATAATGAATATTATGCATTTAAGAGGGCTATATCTACAGAGACCACTGGTATGGGCTCCTGCCTGTCGTGAAGGCCGTGCTTGTCGTGCTCTTATTTGGTTTTCCCGAACACCAGGACTTTGTCTACTATGGCAGCTACCCCACTGAAGCCTTTGTTTGTCTCATCCACTCGAAATTTATTTTGGGCTGAGCTGATTCCAAATGGCAGAACTTGATTAAGTTCAGGTACAAACTAGCTCTCAGTCCCAAGAGGGGCGGGGCTTGAATGTTGGCAATGTAGAACTGTAACACTATTTAGCTGCTGTTTGTATTTGCCTTCCATTGTGAAAACACCTTTTACCCTTGGCCTCTCTTCCATTTGTGGTGAGCCTGTGTGTGGCTGGCTGTATGGCCATGTTTCCAAACAATGTGTGGAATATGTTCTCTGGGATGATGTTTTTGACATCTTTTATGTTGTGTGGACCACCACACCTGCTGCTAAGTTAATTACTTGAGTGTAGTGAGTAACTTTGTGAGGAACTCAAGAAATAAAAAACAAAAAAACAATGGGTCTTTTATTTGATGTGGATGTGATTGGAATTATTAACGGACTTTGCAGGTACACTTGTATTTATTTGTGATGAAATGACACGCCATCATCTCCTGATTAGATAACCTGCCACATTTACACCAGGACAATATTCCCAGTGTGTATTCATCAGTGTGATTGCAATATTAAATATTAAATTGTGATTTGACAACCAAATCAAATTAGGAGATAATGCTGTGATGTTTCATAATTTATTGCCTATTAAATATAGTTTTGTTGAAGTGTGTTCACTTCTTCACTTTTACCTGAGGAAGATCATCTGATGTTGAAACATTGCATCAGTCACATCCACATGAAATGAGGGAGTTTGTCTTTTTGTGTGTGCATAAACTGGTCTGTCTTCATCAGTGAACCAATGAACAGCATGACTAGTTAAATGCAGACTACTGATACGCTGTCATCGAAAGAGTAAAAGTGGTTATTTAAAAGACCAAGGAGCTACTGCTCCTACGTGCTTTTATGCATTCCCAACAACTTCTGGGCATGACCCTGATGAGATGGCAGATGGTGCCTTAGGGATCTCCTCCCAGACTTGGATCAGGGCATTCATGAGCTACTTGGCAGCATCGGATGTACCGATACATAAGGTCCCAGAGGTTCTCAATTGGGTTCAAGTCTGGGGAACATGAGGGCCAGTCAATGACATCACTGCATTTGTTATCCAGGATCTCAAGAGGCATTGTCCTGCACCAAGAGGAACCCAGGGCCCTCAAGCACAAGGTCTGATGGATTTCATCCTAGTACCTTGCCTAGCGTGTTAATGTCTGTCAGACATTCATTTATTTGATGCTTTAATCCAAAGCGATATACCACTATACATGTCAGAGGTCACACGCCTCTGGAGCAACTAGGGGTTAAGTGTCTTGCCCAGGGACACAATGGTGGATGGGTCACAGTGGGGAATTGACTCTCATACCAAAGGCATGCGGGATGATGTTGCAGGCAGCATAACATTCACCACGGCATCTAACCTGCGAACTTTGGTGTTCTCGGGCGAATGCCAATCGAGTTGCGGGCTGTCAGGCCCTCATGCTAGTGTTGTAGTACTCGAGACCGGTCTTGGTCTTAAGACCACATTTAGATGGTCTTGGTCTTGTCTCAGAATCGACCGCCTTTGTACTCGGTCTTGTCTCGGTATCAGACATTGAGGACTCGGGATTTTATTTCAAGACCATAACTTTGGGAATATCAATAAATTGCTCTTGCATTGTCTGATTTATTTGTTAACATCCTAACTTTGATTGGAAGTAAACTTATTGCTTCAAATGCA